CTAAAGAGATGTTTGATTTACGGTAGAAATTCCTGAGAAGATAGTGACTCTTATTGGAGCTTGCTCGTTACAAAGCGATGCCAGGGGTTTTGTACACTTGTTAATTAAATAAATAGTCTGCTAGAAAAGCAGCTTTCTGCTCTACTGGCTAAGGACACTGTTCAGGGCTCTGTACTCCCTTCAGTAGCTGTGGTCTCACTGTAGCTCAAAAGGAGAGTGTTGAATGTTGTTGCCACCCTCGGATGCGTTTTGGAAAGGAGGTGGAGGAGACGGAATTCTTGTGTCTGCACAAAACAGTTTGTGACTATTTCAGCTATTTTTTTTTTAAGAGAGTTTTCCATGGGGGGATGTCACAGATTATAAGATCATCACCCACTGTGATTCGATGAAACAGTTTTATCTTTCTTCTGTTGCAGGGGGAAAACCAGACGACATCACCGTCCTTCTTTCTATTGTAGCCGAGTACACAGACTGATCTGCCCGGAGCGTCAGCTGCTGGCGCTGTCGCCATCCCTGAGCTCCTCGCTTCACACGCGCGGGTTCCTGCTGGCAGGATTGCTTTCTTCCTTCGCTGCTGATCTCAGCAGCCGGTTCTCGAGCTCGTTGCCTGTTTGAGACACAAGCGAAGTCCTTGTTGAGAACCACTCTCGTAGTACACTGGTCTTTGTCTGCCAGCAAGAGATGAAGAAGCTCAAGGCTTGAAGCGTGTCGTTCAGAGCTTGGTCATTGTCCTTAAAAGGGGGAGGATCCATCCCACGTCGTTACTGCGTTTGAAACGTGACTTAATTTCAAAAGAGTAGAGTTGGTTTATCATCTTTCAAACTAGATCCAGTAGGTAAAACCTCTCCGAGAGGGCGTGTTACTCTCTTTACTAGAAGCGTTCACTCGTGATCAAAGGGCGCGCTGCAGAACGCTGTTCCATAAGCATCGTCTCGTGCCAGTGATAGCTGAGGTTTCGTGTTTCCGAGCTCCGGTTTTTCGGGAGGTTTAGAACTGCTGTAAACATCCTGCTCTTGCCGTACATGGTGTCAGCCTAGGAGCCTTTTCTAGTACGAAATTTCAAAAACAAAAACCACCAACCAACCAACCAAACCCCATACTTAGTTCAAGTTATATGGATGCAAATGTGTTTTGTGATTTCAGGTGCTTAACTGTGATCTTAAAAGTTCTGCAGATCATTTGTCCATAATGGGCCTGGTATCTGGATGGTTTTTGGCTGTGGATAATTTTATTTTAATTTATTTTTTTTTTTTTAAGACAAAAAAATTTTAACTCAGTCTCAAAAAAACCTGAGCTGGCCAAAGTTGAGGTCCTTCCAGCATTGTAACCCATCTCGCCAGCGCGGGATGATGCGGCCTCAGTGCTTCAGTGGGAGGTTGCACAGAGAACAGATCGTCCTCAGCCCCGACCCTCTTCACTTCTGGTAGAGAATTCTCTTGGTAACAAAAGTTAATTAGTGTTAATTGCCATTCTCGCTTGTGTAGAACAGAATATGCTGCACCAGTTTAAGTCCAGTTGATCCTCATCTTTCTGACTCTGAAACAAGCACCTCTTCGCTGATGCTGTGGCAGCAGCAGTAAGTACCTAAACAGAAATGATTAATGAATAATCAGCACGATTTACATTTCAGTAACTAAAGTTTCGGGTTTGGGGAATGAACCTCCCTGATGTTTACAGTTATCTAACAGCCACTTTGCAATAGTACATTTCCTTTTCAATTACAGGAGCTCACATTTGTTCCCCCTTTTTTTTTTTTCCAGCAAGCTTTCCTTTTTCTTTCCCGAGGTTCATACAAAAAGCTGATAGCTGTAAAGATATATATATTTTTGGTCAGTTTTTCATTAACTTTTTTGCTGGTAGAAAAGTATGTAGAAAATAAATTAAAGCCATGTTTTTATATATATACATATATATATATATGTATATATATAAAAAGTCAGGTAATGTTGCTGTTTAGGTGAGTGCAGTTAAACTTGGTCAGTAAGGAATCTTACCTGCTCTCAAAAGGAGATTTTTACTACCTGGTTTATTGTATTAAAACTGTTTAAGTTTGAGGTTACCTCAACTTGTTTAAAGAATTTTTGTGGACTTGTACTGTATATTTGCGTAACTATGTCAAGCTTTTATTTAAGATCATTTAACATGTACCATGTACATGTCATTTTACTATATTTCAATGCATCATGCTTGTAACAGGCATTTCATTTATAATAAGTGATTAATTTGGAAGCTCTTTGGTAATTTATCTGCTATTCCTAAATTGGCATCACGTTAGTTATCTATTTTAAATCACCTTGTAATTACTTGTCAAAATGCCTTAACTACCCTAACTTGACCAAAATAGTATTTTGGTGAGGGTATGGGGAGGATGTGATATTAATGAAGACAAATTAATTAAGTTTTGCCATCCATGGAACAGTGAGTGGTGGAGAACTTTGCACAAATTGTCAGTCCTCGTTGTTTTTTTTGTTTGTTGTTGTTTTTTTTTACAAAAAAAAGCCGTATCTCGCTGTCTCGTTAGGAGGAATGTATCCATGCTGCAGTACAGGGCTTTGTTTCTAGCATTTGGGAGGAGAGTTTCTCTCTCAAATCTGGGTGTCTCTACATTTTATTCTCCAGTATTTACTCTCACGCTTCTCGATTAGAGCAGATTTGATCAATTATTCTTTCCCTTGAACTTCCCTGAAAACGATGCCCCCGCAGACCCAGACTGTGTTGTACTCTGACCCCTCGCTCTCAGCGCGCTCGGCCCCAGCCCTCCTTGACTCTTCCTCCCCCTCTGCTGTCTGGAACTCTGCGTTGGGTGACGTACGCGGATCAGGGGGTGGTGAAGGTGCTCACCCCGGCGTGAGGGATCCGCGAGCGGAGAGGCTCGGCCGGCTTCTCCCACCGCGCCTCGCGCGCTGCAGTGGAGCCGCTCTTGGCCGAGCAGTAGCTACAAAGCCATTTGCCTCGTATCACATCGTGATATTCTATATTAATTTTTTTTCTTATTTCTTTTAATAAAGAACAAATTTGGATTTTGATTTACAGATCATGAGTTTATCCCTCACCAGACACACCAAAGACCAGTAAAGCTTATAGCTTTTCCATCTGTTTATAAAGCAATACTGTATTATAAAGAATTGATATTTTTATCACAGGCTTGATTGGTTTTGTTTTTTGGGGTTGTTTTTTTCTGTTTTGTTTTGTTTTAAGATGTGCACTCTAAACATATCAAACTTAATTTCTTCCTTTGAACTAAAGCTGTCTGCGCACAAGAGATTTTTTGGAAAAGGAAATGATAGGGCCCATAACTAGCAAAATAATTGTAAACGATGCATGAAGCAGTGACACTTCCTAGGAATTAGATTTTTGTGACTATTCATGAGGAACGTACCAGGTGGGTGTTCCACGCCAGGGCAGCCAGCGTGAGCGGAGCACGGGCTGACCTTCAGCTGCTGCAGAGGGGGCGTGTTTGTGTTCGGGAGCGGTGACCTGAAGGGACAGGAGGAGTTTTATAGAAACCAGTAACCACGTAAGGTAACGGGACTGGGAGGAACTGGGATTGCTGCAGCAGCGGTACCAGGTGTGTGGGTAGAACAGGGCTAAGATGTGGTGACTTTGGAAAAACTCTCTGGTTCCTTGCTACTTTCATGGCTATCTTTGGGAGAGCTGCCACATACAGTTTCCCTCTAAATGTACTTTTTTGGGATGTTTATGAAGAAAGTATGGCTGAAAAACAACCAAACCAAAAAAAAACCAACCCAGATTTTGGGACCAGACAGTTGTGAGTGAGTAAAGGAGGAGGGAGAGGTGAAGGTCTGGCACAGATGTGAAGGATTTTGTGATGGAATCTCCATCCTTTGGGAATGGACATCCTTTTTCCAGGGTAAAAAATTAGATTGTGCGTGTAGAAACTGACTGTATGGAGTAGTTTCTTACAAAGATAGCTGAGATAATGAAGCGAGTCCGAGTCTGTATCTAATGAGGATGCTTTTTTGTTGTTGTTCAAATGAGACGATCATCTATGCTTACCTAAGGCAATTATGTGAATTTCATGTCTGAGGTATAACTTATGCAGGAAGAGTTCTGTAAATACATTTAAATGAATTGTAAAGATATTTAATAAATATAGTATTTATACTAAAATGTGGGTTTTTTAAAGTAAAATTGATTGCACAAACTCTGTTTGTTAACGCAGTGGTGTCGCTGGTGGCACAGAGGTGTGTGGCCACCAGTGCTTGGGGTGCATCGGAAGGAGGAGGCAGGGCGAGGGAAGGGAGCGATGCAGCTCTGAACACAAACGCATCTTGAACTCGGGCTTCCAAACAACATTTTTATTTTTTAATGCATTTCTACACCAGCTTTGGCTGGTCAGTTCAATGCCAGCTCTGCAGAGTTCTGTAACCTCCCGCCTGTTCTCTGGCAGTCCTGTGTGTGGCTTTGCCAGAGTCAATGGGCTCATTTTTCCAGCATTTGGAACTTTACAACAGCAGCTTCATTTGCCTGAGGCGGTAACACAGTTTGAATTCTCCAGTGAGAGAATCTCTCTCATCTCGAGAACTGTTCTCTCTCATCTCATCTAGAGCTGGATGAACAGCCAAACAATACACCGACCCCCATCTAGTCACTCATGCACCATGACAGCAGCTGAGGGGTTTGGGGTGGCCCGTGCTGGTGGTTAATGCAAACCATGACTGAGCCCTCAGCCTGTGCTGCCAGCGCAGGAACTGACACAGCGCTCGGTACCGAGTCGAGTTCTGTCCTTTTCTCACATCTGTCTCATAAAAAAAGAAACAGACACCACTGGAATTGAACTCCCACTTCCCAGACAAAACCTACTCCTGAAATGCTGCTTACCACACATTTTCAGAACACAAATAGTTTCCATCAAGTTCTAACTTGCTGAAGAACTGCAATTAAACTCTAAAACCAGAACCAGCTCCGCAGTTACCGTGTCAAACACGCTTCTCTCTTTCAAGGCAAGTTCCGATGGTCTTGGATCCAAACACTTCGTGTCACTGGAGAACTTGGGAGCTCTGCTCGTGGCCAAAATCCTCTTCGGTGTCACTAGCTGTTGCTAAGCTATGGAAGGTGAGGCTGATGGCATCCTTCTCCTTACAAGACATTGCTCCAAAAAATAAGGAATGAAACTGGAAAATGCAAGATTTATAGAAGTAAGAAACCTCACGTGATACAGAACTTGGGGCTTAATTATTTCTGCAGCTTTTGCTATTTTAAAATATCTGTCTGTAGTGTTTCCTCATGAACTGCACCTGCCATCTGTGAGTATTTCAGCATTAGTTACACGTGGTGGTGGTGGGTTTTGCCAGCTGTGCAGAACTGAGCAGCAACTCCAGGCAGCGCTCGGCTCAGCACCAGCCGTGGCACCCGCTGTAACCACCGCTGGGATCCTCACCTGCTGGTAACGGGACTCTCTGGCCTCTCCCTCCAGTGCTGCCTGGTCCTCTGCCTCCATCAGGGCTGTTCCTTCCATGCCCATCGCATCTCTCGTGACTCTGGGGATATTTTTAATCTCTTGTTTCACCAGAGGACTCACAGGTTTCACCGACTCTGTGTTCGGGGCAGTTCCGTTCCGCTGCGGCTTTTTGGAAGCGTCTGCGTTGCTGTCTTTATCCATGGAGGTTCCATCAGCTTCACCCGTACGTGTCTTGGAGCTGGATTGGAGAGAGCAGGTCAGGTTAGTAACTGGCTTTTACATGTTGGGTTTGGTTTTTTTTTTTTAGAAGGTCTTTATTTTCTGTTAATGAAAAGCCTTATGGCTTTAGATTCTCAACAGGGATCTTCCCCTCCCACTGCAACAGAGCCCCGTGGAGATAAAAGCAAGCAGCAGCGAGTACAGAGCGCTCTCCCTTGTGCCAGGTTTTACTGCTGTGTGTGATGCCGAGATGTTCCTGCACCTTGTCTGGTTCAGGGTTTTCCTCTGAACAAAGACTGCAGGATCTGTACAATTCTCACCCTGTGAGAATGAGCCAATTGCTTCCTTTCCATCTTAAATCTGACTTGGCTGGAAAACTTTAGACTTCAATTTTTCATCCTCTTAAGGCAGCGTGCCGCCCTCACCCGCCCCCAAAGCCCACCGTTACCTTTCCTGGCACTGGGAGAAGCAGGGAGGCTGCTGGGAAGCCGTCTCCTTTCCAATGTCAGACAAGGTCGCCAGAATAAAGCTGGCTTCCAGCATCATATCTTCAATGCTGAAAGCAATGGGTCTGAACACAGATATTCAGAGACTCAGGGCGTGTAATGACACACAGTGCAGAGGAAATACAAGTTACACGATTCTATAGACAGATTAAAAAATGCCTCCTCTGGAAAGCTGGAAATGTAATAGATTTGCTCCTAGGGAGTGAGATGGCTTCTTATTACAGATTTAAATGCATCACCTAGGTAGTGCTATACAGTATTATACTTACTCAAATTACAGTTCTAAAGATGTAACTTAAAATTATATTTTAAACAGAAAATGTATTGTTTTTTCAGAGTACTGAATACAATCATTGTGTGCGTTAGACTGAGAGCCTGGAGCATCCCAGTAACTTGTAGGTGCTCGTTAGTCAGCACGGCTGGATTAGTAATGCTGGTGCTGAGGTGAAGTGGTTTTTGTGTAATAACAAACTACTTAACTCTGTATCACAGATTAGAAATACAGCTTTTGGTGCAAAATTAAAATCTATTTTACTGTTCCAGGTAAATATTCATTCAGTAACCTGCAGCCAAAACCAGACTGTGGGGTTGTGACTGCTGTATTTCTAGACAGGTGTGTTCCAAAACGTACTTTCCAGAGACGTCAGAGTGGATGGAGACAGGAACGTTGGTAGCCTCTGCAAACGCCAGCAGGCCCTGCAAGAAGGGCTGAGTGGTTAGGTGCTGTTTTAAAAACAGAAGATTAATATTAGCATGTGAGTTTATCCTGGCTGCTGCTTACTGGCAAAAAGAGCCTAACAGTCTGCTGCTTCTGAAATCTATTTCTTGCCTTCCCTGCCTGGAGCTTTGCCAGAGAATCACAGAATCAGAGACTCGTTTTTGGTTGGAAAAGAACTTTAAGATAATGATGATCACAAGCTTCATGTGGCACTTCTGTGGCCAGGACACTTTCTCCAGCACAGTCACAGTGTGTCTGCCCAGCACTGAAACTACATCCGTGTTGTTTTAAAAATGTCCCTCTTGCCTTTCAAAGGCCACTGTGAGGGACTCCGCAGTGTCCTGAAAACCCTGGTTTTTAAAGCTAATTCTGAAGCAGCTGGTGAAACAGAGCTGCTGGTCAGGAGGCCTGGTGGAAGGAACACCCCAGGGCTGTTCTGTAGGGACTCTTTGGGATCGTCCTGGTCAAGTCAGGCAAATTAATGGGAAATTTTGATTATTTTTCAAGACAAATTCTTACTTTACCCTCAATTCTTTAAGGCAAAACGTCACTTCAGAATCTACTCCAACTTGAAAGTAGTCAAATTCATCTGGATTTAGCTGTATTTCAGTAAGCATTGTCTTTGAAAAATCTGTTTAAAATAACAAGAAAGTCAAGGACTCAAAGTGAGTGGAGTTTAAACTCAACAGAACTACCATTACAGCCATGAGATATTTACATCAGCATCACTTGAACAAATAATTGTATTTTTATGGTGAGCAGCAGTAATAAATGTTTAGCTTATCTATAATTATTTCATAATTAAGTAAAATAAACCCCTCAATTTATTTACAGTCTATTATGTAGATTTGAATGGCTTTTAACAGAACCTATTTCATGTTCCTCTGTGTGATCTACCCTGATACCTGCTGTCGTTCTAGCAAATCTGCTTTATCACAAATAGTATTACCGGCTGCGTATCTGCCACAGAGATGGGAAGACCAAAAATCTTTAACAGATTAATCATAATTGCTGACAATCATCATCAGAGGACAATGAAGGTGGATTTAGGTTCTTTGTTTGAAACCATAATCATTTTCCGGATACGTAAGTGGCAACAGGAAACAGGCTCTTTGGTTTCAGGTATTCAATTGTTGCTTGTTATCATGAGATTAGGCTGTAGCTGTTATTACACGTGTGAAAAGAAAGTGAGAGGGTTCTTCCACGATGTGTTACAGTCTCAGAGGTATTCAGACAAATTCTACAGCAGTTTAAACAGTACACACCTACCCAGTCCTCTTCCAAAGCCAGGCTGCTAGCAAAGTCTTACAAACTGTTCCCAGTCTCTTTCTCCGAGCGAGAGGTTTTATTTCCTCTCAGCCTCCAGCGAGGCCCCTCTGCCTGTTCAAATACAAAACCTGTAAAGCTCCTTAAAACTGCAGACACAGATACTGAGAGGGCACCTGCCAGCTTCTGCGAGACACAGCCTGCCACGTGGGGAGGAAAACAAGCCCAGGCAGAAAGTGTAATTTCTTTCTTTGGAAATCTAGACCTGACTGTGGAGAAACCCCATTTCAAAGCGCAGGTTTTGTGCCGGTGCGCGCAGAACATTTGCTGCAGGCAGGGAATTGCATCACACGCCACACAACACCAACAACGCTCGTGCTTCCTCCTTTTTCTCCTTGGCTGCTTGGGGTTTTTGGTACCTCATTAAATTTTTACCTACTGTTTTTTTCACCTTCTTTCTTATGACCCTGGTAGGTGTATTATTTTTAAAATAACAAAATTTGTCATTCAAAATGTAACTTTTTAGTGTCTTTTTATTTTCAGTACTTTCTTCCCTGTTTCACTCCCGTTTCCACCACTTAATCCTTTTTTCTCTCCACAGCTTCAGCCTGTTCCCAGCACAATCCCCACCCTACGCTCTAGGCACTCATCTTTTTCTAGGTCATTATCCTCAGCTTTGGTCATAAGCAAGTATGAAAAGCATGTCTTTATTACATGATATACAAGAACCTACACTTCAAAAACACAATTACATCTTTAAAATTAGTTTGAGTCACACCCCAAGAATCTAGTTTGTTCTCCATCTCCGAGAGAGATCTGAAAACGGCAGTGCAGCGTAACAGCGTTAGGCCACCTAAGAGACTTGCCTTTATACTAAAATATACTCCAGAATGATATCAATTCTATAATTATGGTATTCAGATTTAAATAGTTCTTTTCTTAAAACATAAAATTATCTCCTTTTTGCCATGCCCCTGCTCTTGCAGCACAGTAATTACCTCCGCTCAAGCCTACAGCAAGTGGCGTAATTTATTTCAATTGGCTGCTCAGTCTGATATCTGCTGCTGATACCAGGAAAATGTTATTAAAAACATACTTTCTTAAAAGATATTAAAAGCAGAGGGTGTCAGTGTGACTTTGAAATCTCTCTAGATATATTCCCTCTCTTAAAAATCTCACTCAGTCATAAAATGCATTCTTTATTTATGCTGCAATAGTTACAGTTCCTTTAGTTCACCTGTTTTACAGTCACAATACTGTTCCATATTCTGAATTTCCTTACCCGTGTCCTCTTCAGCGTAACTCTTGAAACAAACTTTCATCGGAGTAACTGATAAAGTTACTTCTTCTTGACTGGTTGGAAAGTGAATCATTGTGTCAGCCAGCAGCCTATAAAATTTAATTCAATATTAAAATTATTTTACATGCCACAAATCATAGAATCATAGAATGGTTTGGGTTGGAAGGGACCTTAAAGATCATCCAGTTCCAACCCCCCAGCCAGCAGCAGGGACACTAGCTAGTATTTGTTACTCATCTTAGAAATTAAAATTGTTGACTGTTGGAAAAACTGCTTTTGAAATGCACATCCCTTAAAGTGTGCTGGATCTTTTAAAGTGATTTCTATAGCAATAGATACATAAGATGTCTAAAAATAAAACCAGGAATTCTGAAAGCAAATTTATTTCTATATAATACCTGCGTCTGCTGCCAAATCAGGCTTATGTATGTTGCTGCTGCCTTTCTAGATAAACAAATCACCACTTAGAGCAAAACCATCCCCTTTATTGGAAAGCTGCTGGTTTAGAAGTTGTGTAATCTTTCTCTAAACACGATACAGAACATCTGTACAGAGCTACCTTTATACACCTTTATTGGCTGATTTCTGTGCCCAGAGCTCCTGCGCACAAGCAACACCGTGACAGAAATGCTGTCAGGGAAAGCACAGTCTGACTGGCCTTTGCCTTTCCTTCCCACAACAACCACACCTCGGGGTGGCTTTTCAAAGCAGAACTTTGTCGTATTGCAGAACAAAATGGATGCTTTTACCACTGGGTTCTTTGCCTAGAAAATTGAAGTGCTGCTTTATTTGTTCTAGGTGGAAGCTCCTTAAAGGTGTGAAGTCAAATTATCCATTCCCCACTTCTCATGGTTGGACTGAGCAGGATTAATGGCAAAGTGATGCAAGTTTCTGAAGTTGTAACGTGAAAAATCAAACACTAGGATACAGGATTTCAGAGTTTGCCATTTTTAACTGTGCCCCAATTAGATTTTGATTGTTAATGACTTTAAAGAGCAGGATTGCCTCCCATATGATTTTATTTTTGCCCTCTCCCCAAAAAATATTTTTGTATTCATTACCTGGAGTGGACTTTAAGGATGTTTGGACACATGTGCTTTGCAAAAACAGCCTGCAACGGATCACACTCTTGAAATGCCAGATTATATGTTTTTATAACACCTAAGTGTAAAGGATATGAACAAAAATCAATGCTGGCCTGTAATTTTTAATGGTTTTTCAGTATTAATTGTTCTTTTAGGAAATCTCAAGAGATAAAGTAACCAAGTGACTCACTCTAGCTATGTGGAAATAACTCACCCACAAATAGAAAACTGAATTAACCTGCTATCTAAGACTTCCTTCATCCCATTAGTTATGCTCCTCCAGCATCTGAGTTCTTTAAGAATCCACAAGAAATAAGTGAACAGCAACAAATGCAGGGGGAAAAAAAGGCTTCAGTATTTAACTGGTGTAATAATATAAATGGTGGTGGGATACAAAAGGCAAACCCTACAGATCTCTATTTCTAGATAAGCAGGAGCTAAGAGAGATTGTCTCCAGAACTAATTCAATGTATTATCTCATTATTATTAATACAAGCTAGATTTTTAATAATATAAATCACTGCCTATTACACAGCAGAGCTCAACAAACTATAGATGCTTATAGATCACAGAATGGTTTGGATTGGAAGGGACCTTAAAGCTCATCCAGTTCCAACCCCCCTGCCAGCAGCAGGGACACCTTCCACTAGACCAGGTTGCTCAAAGCCTCATCCAACCTGGCCTTCAACACTTCCAGGGAGGAGCAGCCACAGATTCCTTGGGCAACCTAGATGCTGGTTCTTCATGAGTTTTACAAAGACTAATGCTGACAAACCTCCACGATGTTCTGCTGGACTGAGGATGTCAGACCTGTTACCCTGCTGAAGAACTGTCAGTATCACAAGTGGAAAGACTCAGTAAGTAAATCCTGTAGTTCAAACACCTGGGAAAAGAGGATTTCCCTCTTTTTCAGAATTTACTCCAGCCTAATTCTCAATGTTGTAAGCAACAGGCTGACAGTTAATACACAGCACTGAACTGAAGAATGGTCATCTGATAAAGGCTGTTATAACTTCAGTTTAACAAGGTGATGCACATAACAAATATAAATTACGATGTGAAGAAGCTGAAAGTGTTTGCCATGATGTTCCATCAATAACATTCAGTTAATAATTACACTAAATATTATGTTGCCCTGCTGCTTTAATCTGTAAAGTCACTTCATGTGTAACCTACCGTGTTTGCAGAGGAGCTGAAAAGTTACGTGATGATCATTAATATTTGTATAAATGCTGCATTTCTCTACGTTCCTTTCCAACACATTTACACATCTAAACACAGGAAGAACTGACTGAAATAAATAAATAAATAAATCAGTGCAGAGGTTACTCCCCAAGCAATTTTGCAATGTTATCTCCTGAGTTTCATACAGTGTCTCTCAAGCTCCTGCCTTTAAGGCTTCTCCAAACTGCCCTGTGAGCAGACACGGAGGCAGCCGATACTGGTCCTCGCCCGATACGTGACCAACAGGCCTGTTTGGTCAAAGCTCTCCTGCCTCATGCTGCTTTTGAAGGCACCAGGAGAAACACTCCAGAGGCAAAGATGGGGTATTCCTTCACCCCAAGAATAAGCTGGTTCAGACTTTGGGAACTGCAGGGCCCAGCACAGGAGGTGCAGCTTCTGAACATCATGAAATACTAAAGCTCTTCCCTTCTGCAGAATTGCTGAGAAGCGGTTGAGTTCAGAGCTGTCCACGTGCCCCTATGAGCCTCCCCCTATAATTTCATTTGGAAATTAGGCTAATTTGCTGCTTCCAAAGCTGTGCATAACAATCCATTAAAATGTACCTTAATTATCAATTTACATGGGAGGGATAACTGTTTTTCCTTCTGAGACACAGCTGTCCAGCAGTAATGTTGAAAAAACATGGATGAGAAGAAGACATATGCATACGCTGACCTTGAAGAATTCACGGATCTTAAGGCAAGCTAAAAATGTAAGTAAAGTAATTTATTCACTGAAAACTATTTCATATTGAACTGTTAACAAAAAAAAAAACAACCCTAAAAAACTTCTGTGCTTCAGTACCATACCTAAGTCACAAAACCTTTAAATTTGTGCATCTCAAAATAAATACAGATGCATCATGCATACAATCATGCTCGAACTTATCACCTTCATTATCACTGGTCAGAAGCCACTGGTATAATACAGGCAGAGGAATCCAATTTACAGACATGTAAGTGGCCCTGAAGTGTGAGTTACCTAAACACTTAAAGCTCAGCTTGTGTTTGAGGCATTTGAAGGACTGTGGTTTATTCTCAAACAGTCTTGTTGACCCACCCACATGATATGTACAAATGAGCAAAAGCATTACTAGCACCTCAAAAAATCTTCAGGTATAAAAAGAAATTATCTCCATTTCTGATTTTCCAGCTTCCCAGCAAGTTAAGGAGAGTTGGTAACTTTTAACTAAGAAACCTCTAGAGAAAACCCTAATTCTGCTGGAAATGGTGTTTGATTAACCGGAGGCATATTAATGGATGCAATCTTCCTGTTGAGTCACACCGGTACAAAAAATGTGTTGTTTAGAGGCAGCTTCTGATGTGGTACAAAACATAAACCTTTTGACCTATGACAACAGAAATAAACCCCTTGGTATTAATTTGGATGTCCTGGACAAGCTTCAGCTTGAGTAACAGAAAGTCAAAGAATACTAGGGGCAGGAATGAATCTTCCATGATGTACTCTCCATAATTACAATTACAGAGAATATGGCATTTGTCCATATTGAAAGTGGAGGAAGCTGAGCGAGAATGTCAGACTGAAGGGTACCTGTAGGAAAACAACACAATATCCAACATCATAAATACCATGCTTCCAATAAAGCTTTTAAAATTACAATAAATCAAATTCACTTACACCTTTTTCTACGGGGTCAAAACAAAATTCATCACTAATACGTGCTATGGCATGTATTGCTCTTCCAAACACTAGCAGGAAAAGAAAACAGTGTGATATAGATTCAAAGTTAAAAAAAAAGTTATACTGCATTTTCTCCAGAATAATTTAAGAAACATTACAACATTACACGTTTCAAAGAAAACCGATGACATGGTGGAAAACTCTTTACTTTTAGTAGCACAAACACTGTGATGTTTTTGACAGCTGCCTCCAACATGGTGAACCTCAAACGTCACCTGTGCCTTTCCAGCAACCGGCATGACCTGATGTCACCACAAATTAATTCAATCTAATTGGACAAAACACTACTGATGTTAGAAATTACATTTTGTAGATGGGAAGAAGTTTGAGCAAGCAGTAAGCAGCTGGACATCTGTAAAGCCCTAAGAAACACAGCAGAAAGCAGCAGTGGGTCTCCAAATGTGCCTCTGCCCACCCTGGCACTGGCAGAGCAGTGTTTGACATGAAATGCTGTGTGCAGGGGGTGTAGTTGGGCCTCTGGAAGCAGAACGGTGGGCACAGGGAGGCAGCCAGCCAAGCAACGGCTTCTCCACCTGAAAGTACCACACACAGATCCAGCCCTCTGCTCTCTAATCTGAACAACCTTCAGAGGCCGCGTGTTGCCCCACAAAAATGCCTTTGTCCTCCTGAGGATGAGGAAGATGCATCTCCTCAGCTCTGCTGTGACCACAGCGGGGCTGCACACAGCTCCCAGCACTTGGTGCCCCACTTTGCACTGTCTGAAATCCCCCCACGGGGAAGGTCGCTGAGGGGGGTGGCAGGGACCGCAGGGTGCCACAGGCCAGTCACGCAGCCCCATGGCTGCCAGCCCCGCTGTGGGATAACTGTTTCCCCACACACACCCCTCTGTCCCAGGGAAGGCTGGCCCCGCTGTGGGATGCCCTTTTCTCCCACATACACCCAGGCTCGCTGCCTCCCCTGGGGCCACGGGTACCTCTGA